GAAGATAGAAAATCCCAGAGGGATTCTAAGTGGGACAGTCTAACTTACCTCGACCTACCTTATCCTATTCTAGAAAACAAGATTATTCCTTTACGATTTAAAAAGCTCTATTCATGAAAGGTTAGTTCTATTTATTCACTCATAACCAAAACATTAGACTGAAATAGTCTTTTCCTGAACTTCCTCAGAGGTTCTGATGTGACAGCACCTTCTGGTTCTGATTTTTTATTTCTCATCGAGTACATCAGAAGATATGTCCTCAGACTCAGCCTAGCTAATCTTTAGATCTGCAGATTTAAAACTAGCTTTGACTTTTCAGAGTAAAGCTTATCATTAAATTTAATATGACTTGATTCCTCAATAATGTTAGTTCAGTGTTACATACTCTGTAGACTTTTGAGCGAATCAGAATGTCTTAACATGATACATTTTTTAGTAAGAATCAAACACGTTTGTATTAAGCATAAAATGAAATATCAGGGGTAGAGAGAAGAAAATCAATACCAATAGTTTCTGAACCATTAATCTTACCCTTCTGACCTCCTTTAGAACCTACAAAGCCACTAAACTTAAGTTACAGACCTTGGGACGTATGCCTTCTTCCCTTTATATGTTGAGGGCATCCATATTCCAAGAACCATGATTTGTGTCTCAACTTTGCTACTTAGGATGTCTGCAACATATGATATTTTATCTTTTCGTACTCATATCATTTTAAGTCCTTTGTGATTAGTTTTCCCAGAGGTTTTACCAACCCATGGTTTATAAGCAAAATATGTATAATGAGATTGACCATAGGTAGAATGGGAGTACAAAGCCCTTCGCTTTTTCACTTTCTTTTTGGGTTTATCCTTTAGCAAGGAGTTCTTTGTTTTAACATAACCAGTTCTTCTTTCCCTTTTACCACTAGTTCTATAGATTATTAAAGCCATTTTGCTTCTATCTATGCTCATAGCTAGAAATTTTTGAAGAGAAACTTCATATTTCTTGGAAGAAAATTCAGTATCCATAAGAGCTTCTGAATAAATTTAGTTTCTTAAATTTGTACTCTTGCTTTTTAGGATAGATTTTTCTTTTTCTAAACTACTGACTCTTTCTTTTAAATTAGATTTTTCTTTCAATAGTTCACTATGGGCTTCCAAATTGACTACATGAATCTATTTCAGATTCTTGCATCTTCGCTTAAGCTTCTAACTCTTTTCCAGAATCTCTTTTAGAACCTGATTGTGATTCTACTTCAAAGGTGTTGGCCTTTAGAGCCATATAAACTTGTTCATCTTCAAAGTCACTTTCAGATTCATCTTCAAAGTCACCTTCAAAGTCTTCTTCTTTACCTTGGAAAGTTTTAGTCTTTAGAGCTACATACATGACTTTCCTCTGAGGCACATCCTCTTCCATTTTGAAGGCTTCATCCTTATGGATTGAATCAAAATCCTTAATTTTCTTAACATGCTTATTCTCTTTATCAATCATTTTTAAATAATCAAATATATACTTGGCAGAGTATTTATTTGTGATCTTCCCATACTCTAAATAGGAAATAACATACAACAAAATATTTCTGGAACTATGATGATTCTTGTGATACTTCTTTTGTTACTCAATCATATGATTCCTTTCAAGCTTTACTCCATCAGCATACAAAGGATGTGTGTAGCCATTTATAACCATATCCCATAAATCTGCGTCTTGGCCAAGAAAGAAACTTTCTATTATGTATTTCTAATAATCAAATGTATCTCCATAAAAAAATTGGAGGTTTGACAAAATAACAGTCTTTATCATTGTTTGTATGAGCCATTTTATGTTTCAAGAAAATTAATCTTTTTCTCACACAGTTAAGTGCTTGATACAACGAGTCAATGCTAGAACCAGAGCACTGATACAAAGTGAAGGTTCAAGAAACACAAGAAATATGAGATTTGAATTGGATTTATAGATTTAAAACTTTTTCAACCCAAGAATTCAAACATTAAAGATGAGACTAGGATAAAAAACACAAGCATTTGTATCCTGGTTTGTTGTTAAAGAAGCTACTTCCAGTCCACCCGCCTGAGAGATTTTTCCTTCTCAATAAGTAATTAATCCAATAATCAAATTGATTATACAACTCAAAGACTAACTATATAATATTTCTTGAGAATTTTGACTATGCTCTAGTCTCTCAAGGAAATATAACTCAAAGACTAAGTGTCAATGATATCTTGAGAATTTTGACTAAACTTAATCTCTTAAAGAAATTAACAATTGTTAATCAAATTAATTGTGTTTACAAGGATGATGCTTCCTAAGAAGAATACACACAATGAAATTCATGTTTACACTAGAGAGTATTTGAAATGAAGCTCAAGGTATTTCTTCAATCTTCTCTTTCTTGGAGATGATTTGTTTTATTGAACTTTCTTCATCATGAAGTTCCTTCAATTTTCTGTGCAAAAGCTTTCTATCTCTTTTTGTTATTCTTTTTAATTCCATCATCATTTTTCATTCACAATTCCTTTGTCCTCTTTATAGATAAAATTTTTTGTCCTTTTTATAGATAAAAAATAAGACCGTATGAGGGTAGGATTAGAACTTTCTTCAAAGTAGAATTATATTATATAGTAGATAGGTTCGGCCGTAAATCTTGGGTAGTTGGTAGAAATTTTTTTATAGTCGTTTAAAGTACAATACTTTTCATTTGAAGCTAACTTGTACTGTTCAAAAAATATTCATCCATTCTAACACTCTAGAACATTGTCTTTGCATATAAGAGATTTAACGCATGTTCAGAGTTCAGAGCCTTGAGAATATGTTTCAGAGTCTAATGACTAAATGAGGCTTAAATAAAATTAGATTGCATTATAGACGTCTACTTTAGAAGTGTTGGCTGGTAAAAACTAGAGTTGACTTTAACTTCAGAACTACTTCAAGTGATCACTTTGGTTCAAATACTGAGGACGTCCAATGTTAAGAATCTTTTTTATTAGAGTCCAGACTCTCTATATCCAGAGTCTCTCTAAGACCTGAGTTCAAAGTCTGATTTGATTAGCTTTTTTCTACATATTGGCTTGATTAGAGTCATCTTCATACATCTTCTTACTTAATCAAATTTAGGTTTACTTTGCTTCAAGCTTCCTCAAAGTCTACGCACTCAACAAACTATTTGAGAACACAATTGTTCTTTTACACTTTGTTATCATAAAAACTCAAGGATAGTTAAATAATAAAACTTGTTCAAACATTAGTGTGTCCTCGAACGAGGCAAAAATTAAGGGTCACACCTGAGAGGCGTGAAAGATATCTTGCTTGAGAGACTTGATAACAAGTCTTGTATGAGGGCTCGATGGGAGTCCCACCCAGGTACATCAAACACCTCGCCTGAGAGATTAGTAGTCTCATCGGCCGTGTTGTTTACAATAAAGCCTAATGGACTTAAATTCCCCAGGAAAGACCAAGAGTCACACCTAAGATGCGCGAAAAACATCCACTTCGAGCGACTTGTTAACAAGTCTTGTTTGATGGCTCGTTTGAAGTCTCACCTAAGTAGGCTGAATGCCTCGCATGGGACTCTAGAAGTCTTATCCATCGGACTATGTACAATTCATCCTGAGGGACTCAATTTCCCCAGAATAACCATGCTCTCGCATGAGAGGCGGGACAAAAATTAAGGGTCACGCCTAAGAGGCGCGATAGACATCCAGTCTGAGAGACATGATAACAATTCTTGCCTGAAGGCTCGATGGAAGTCCCGTCCAAGTAGGTCGAACGCCTCGCTTAAGAGAGTGGTAGTCTCATCAACCGGGCTATGTAAAATTCAGCCTGAGGGACTCAGATTCTCCAAGGCCTCTTGCTTATGGGACTACGTAGTAATATATTTGCACAAATCCTCACCTAGGGTGATGCCCTTAGATTTCCTTAAAGGAGGCGACAATGAAATGTTGCCTTAAGAAAGGTATCACCTTACTCTGTAGTTTTTCATCGCCCCTACGTGAGAATCATGGAGCAAGACGTTTCTGAGGAAGAGAAAAATATTTATAACAGCTCAGTAAACTAATTTGATAATAATCTGCGTCCCTTTATTATTAATTAGGACATATATTGAACCATAATTCTTTTATTCTCCTTTTCTCTTCTACATATTGTCATACTCCAAATTTGCCCTACTTGTATAATTCCCATCTATGCATCTACTCACTAACCTTTATTCAAAAACAACCAAACAATATGTTGTTTATGCTTCCATTCTTCCTACTGGATAACTCTGGTCGTGGTAAGAATCATTCGAGGTTCATCTACATGAGTGTGTATGCTCAATGATGGTTGAAATTCAACTGTTTCTGACCTAATCTTGGTCAGAAAAGAGTTCTTTTTTTTCATGATCAGGGCCAGGGGTGATTAATTCAGGTGGCTGTATTTGAAGTTTCAGTCAGGGGTGGGCATTATTTCAAATCGTTTGTGTATGTGTCAATCTATCAGGCTATAATGAGTTAGGTACTTCATCAATGATTGTTTCACCTTATTAAAGAGGTGCTATGTTTGACTATTCTACTCTTGCTGGAGAAATAAAGTTAAGGAAAGATCACTTTCTAGTGGGATTCATGATTGGTGCAAAGGGCTAAATCTAGGTTGCATTGATTTGTATGCATTTATGATACAAGGCTAGAATTTGAACACGAGAGAGCCATCCTCACCATTTGAGTTCAAAGTGACAAGGGTAGAAAGTTCAAAATTTAAGATTGACCACAAAGGATTAAAATCAAGAAGTGCAAAATAAGTGACTTTCAAGTCCAAAATAAGTTTCGCATGGTGCAAAGTTTAGAATGATGATTCCAAAGTCATTACATTATCACTTGAAGTTAAAATCTTTGAGTTAAAAATTCACAAATCTTCACGTTATCATATTACAAGGAATTCAAATTTTGTTGTCACAATTTTGATCCTAATTATGCAAGGCCCAAAAGAATAAGCCTTTATGAGCATCCTAGAAGTTATTGACTTGGTCTGAGTTATCCAAACTACTAAGACCAAAGCTGAAGCCTCATCAATACATGGGAGATGATTTGCAAACAGCAGCCACCATGCTCCAAGCCAACACGCATCATACAAACTATCCATAACTTCCACAAGATGCTACCACACGACCAAGCGGAAAAAGGAAACCAAGCATAAACCAAGTGAAACGCAGGCCAAAGCTTCATCCATAACCTACAGCAAAACGTCACGAACCAGTATGAGAAGTCACACAAACATGACCAATTGTGATTCAACAAAAAAAAATCTGCAACAAAACTATTCACAAAATCTAGACATGCATGTGTGATACATACCTCATGAGCCTAACCGAGTTTCCAAAACGACCAAAACATTGCGCGATAATAATTGATTTGCAGTGATAAAATCCAACCTGGGCAAAATCCTACAAACGACAAAAAATCATTACCATGTCAAACTCCATACAATAAAACGCAGCAACACAGCAACAACGTTCCCAGCACATCATTCACATCTTTCCAAAAACACCCCTCCTATATCAATCTTTTATTCACATTGTTCCAAGGGAGAAAAAGGGACACGATACAACAAGAGCCCGCAAATCTCCTGATACTTCCGTCAAAACCTCTAACCTAAACATTCCTTCACTAAAACAACCCTTCAAAACCTATTCCAAATCATCACCAGAAAACAAATTAAAAGAGAGAGTAGAAGAGAATGAGTTCAAACAAACCAAAACCCATTCAAACCCACCACCAATCACAAAACCAGAAATAATTGAGATGAAAAGTCAAGATAGACTTGAAAGCAGAAAGAGATTGAGAAACGAAACCTGAACCATGTGAATCTGAGTCGTGAATCAAAACCAGAGGAGATGAAATCGATAGATTTGAACTGAAACATGAAAAGCCAAACCTGATTACAAGTCACGAAGAAGGTTGAGGTTTCAATGTGTTTCTCTCTTGACCGTGTTTGTTTTGGACGATGAAGAGGGTTGGGATGAAACGAACATCATCTTGTTAATTGCTCTTGAAAACCATTTTCAAACTGATGTACGCATAAGCCATTGTCTGTTGTTGAAATTTTAATATTTCTTTTGTTTACTATTCTGATGTTGTTTTAAAATGGGAATCGCTGCCTAGCAAAGAAGGTTGACCGAGTTTTGCTTGTTCTTGGATTGTAGTCAGAAAACATGGGCCAACTTTGTGGTGCTGGGCTTAGATAAGCCCATTTCATTCATCACCACTCGGATTACCCACACCACCCCTTTCTTTTTTCTCTTACCGTTTTCATTATGGATGGGTGATGGGCCTTAAAGCCCATATGATCTCATCTTGTGCTTTTCAAGCACACCCTTAATCCAGCACACCCCTTTTTTTGTATTATTTTAGTTTTCTAGGTTTTCTAAATTTGAAGTTTTTTAATTATTTCGTTAAGTGATTTTGTTAAACGATTTAATGAATAAACTGACATTTATTATTATTTATGAATCACTCTTGATTTTATTTTATATATCATCTTCCTCTTCATTTTCACCTTGATTTCGCCTTTGATTTGTGTTCACATTTCATTTTGGGTCGATGACGAAACCACAAAAGTCGCCACTAGTCAAATTATTGATAAGTGGTGATGAAACCGAGACAATTTTTTTTTCATTTTTTCATTTTCTTTGTCATCCCGATTTTATTTTAGTTTATCAATCGATGAAGTCTTTACATTTGTAAACGTTAATTTATCGAAGTCGATAACCTTCCCTATGTCAAATCTGTGGAAAATGACCATTTGGGTCATTTTCTATACTTTGGGATCGTGATAGGCTATCTTCGACTAATCGACATAAGTTTATGATTAAGACGAGATCCCCCTCTTTTTGGTCCGTGTGGCACAATTAAATTGGAGAATGATCCTCAATATCATTTATCTATCTTGTTTTTAGCACGAATATCAATTTACGTGACCTCCTATAGCTTGACTTTCAATCATAAGTTGAACTACAATGGTTTAGTGCTACATTTCGTCCCGATTCAAATCATAAATCGACTAACGACTAAGTTTACTTTCCGTCAATATACAATTGCTTTACTTTTCAATTAAATATACAACTGTTTTAATTTCACTCAAATATACAATTGATTTAAATTCAGTCATCATATCTCGATTATATTATCTTGTTCATATACTTGTTAATATTATCTTGATTACATTATTGTGAATATTATCTTGATTATATCGTTATATATCTTGTTATATTATTCATATTCATATCATATTCATTATTCATATTGTTCATATCTTATTCACACATATTCAAAAACACTTAATAAATGATCGAAACAATAAAAGCCTAAATTGGTGGACTGCTGGTTATTTTTCCGAGCAATGGACTTATTGGACTTTATCAGAAACCTTGGCTTGGAGTTTTGTCTGACTTTTGCTCAAGGCATAGTTTAGGACACTTCGCACACACGTCTTTCTCTTGGGATACCTTACAACAAGACCTTTTATTTCGTGCAATCCCGTGTAACTCACATGTATCCCTCTTCCATTTTGATGTATACATTCATATTTATTTGATCGTGGTTTATCTTCTAGGAGCACCCTTAGGGACTAGCGTAGATTAAACCATTTTCAAACTAATTCTCGATTCGTCATCGAGCCATTTTCAAACACCCTCTATAATTCGATTGCTCATACGCATTCGCCATCAACCTATTGCACACACTTTCATATTTCATCGTGGTTTCGATATTGGGGGCACCCTCAGGGACTAGTATCGTTTCTCACAACTTAACCCTTGATTTGTCGTCAAGATGGTTCCATTTTCAATTAAATCCTCGACTCGTCGTCGAGCCACTTTCAAACCAATTTCCATTTCCAACACGTTTTTGCATGCTAATAGAAGTCAAACCCTTGATCCAACGTCAAACGGTATTTTAAACCAAGTTGTAAGTTGAGTGCCTTTCGCCTCGCAGTCCACCTCTTTTTGCAACGTATTCAATTCAATCTTTTATAAACGCTTTTCTTAAACAAATAACTAAAGAAGAAGATTCTTTGAGTCTATCATTCATTGAATCTTCAAACAAATGGCTCTTTAGGCGCACACTTTGGGTTGTCGTTCATTCACCCTTTCGTCTTAAAACACCTAATCTTTATTCAAACATTTTCGTAATCAATCTAACGAAAGAAGGATATTCTTGGAGTCTAGCATTCCTTGAATCTTCAAATGAATAACTCTCGAGGCATGCCCCTTGAGTTGTTATTCATTCACTCTTTCGAATTCAAAACGTTCAACCTTTTCTGAAATATTTTCTAATCAATTACCGAAAAGAAATGAGTTCTTGGAATCTCGCATTCCTTGGATTCTTGAGTGACAGCTGTCGAGGCACGCCCCTTGGGTTGCTTGTCAGTAAATCTTTCGTTTCTCAACTTTAACTCAATTCAACCTATTTATCTTCGTGGTCGTCTCCACGAACTACAGATGCTTTGATTTTTCATTCATTCTTGAATGTAAGATACGTAAACACAAGATTGTGATGATCTTGGCGAGCACACTTCTATCTTTCTCCGTTATTTCGTCATAATTCTCTCCATCTTCCGTATCCCTTCTATCCTTTCCCGTAGTTGAACTACGAGAGCTCTGATTTTTCATTCTCGTTTGAATGAGCATACGTAGGCACAAGGGCCCCAATCCTTGGCGAGCACCTTATCCTATAACCACTCATTTCCCCTGGTATCCTTATCCTTTTATCCTACCGATTCACATTTATCATTGAGAAGAAAATGAGCAAGTTTAGATAAAACCCATCGCAAATGAACCTAAGAGGTTCCCGTTGAGTACAACGGACGTGAGGGGTGCTAATACCTTCCCTTTGCATAACCGGCTCCTAAACCCGGAACATTGGTTGCGAAGACCCTGTTCCTATCCTTTCGTTCTAAAAGGTTTTCTCGATATTTTCCCTTCCCATCTCTTTGGGATAAATAAAGTTCGGTGGCGACTCTGTCGAACCGCATTTCCGCGCCTTTTGCGTGAGAGTCGTGTTTCCGAATTATCTCGACGAGATTTTTTTGAAGTGCGACACATATCTAGCAAATTGGTATAGGAGATGTAATCAGTTTATAGAAGATATTAAAGTTCTTGATGACTACTCAATAATTTATATAGCTAAAAAATCACAAATATTTTTCTCATGATTCCTTTCTATAATTGCTTAGTCGTTGTAGGCTACGAGTTGAAGTGAACTTCATTTCATTTGGATGTCTTTTTAGCTTTTATATTGAAACTACATTTAGATTTATATTATCATTCATTTTATATCGTTGAATCACAGTTTTATTAAATGGAAGCCACACCTTCAAAAATCTACCAGAGTTTTTAAATGCAAAAATCTTCAGAACGCACTAATACAATTTTCTTTTTCTATCTTATTTCATTTCTACGATTAGTTATTTTGTACTTTGTTGCATTATTATTATTTTGCCTCATCACTACCTGCTTGTATTAATGTTTCATTATCCAGTTATTTTAATCACTTTGAAAACTTCTTTCTAGTTTTTGTAGAAAATTTTCACCGCAACTCTCCCACTCAAGCTGGATTTGAAGTTGCTATCAAATTTATGGAAATTGCTATTTTGAGGATTGGTTTAAGTTTTGGCTTGAAATTTATTCTATTTTGGTGGCTAAAGTTGTTCACAACTGCGACTTGGCTTCTTAGAAATTCAAAAACGGTTAGAATTTATGTGTTCTCCCTAATTATTTTTCTAACTTAATCATCACTCACATATATAGAGAAAATAATTTTTGTGCTGATTTTTTGGTGAATTTTGCGCTTGGCACCAATACTCTAAGGTGTTCTGACTTCATTACTTTGAAAATTCAGAAGAATTTTATAAAGAATAAGTTAGACCTACCTTTCTTTAAATTCTCTTGACTTTGAGGCTAAGTTGTTTTTATCATTTCGTATCTGCTTTTTATTTGGAATATATTGGCAGGTATATATATATATATATATATATATATATATATATATATATATATATATATATATATATATATATATATATATATATATATATATATATATATATATATATATATATATATATATATATATATATATATATATATATATATATACCATTACTTCAATTTGAATTTTGTTCTTAACCATGGTTTAAGTGATATTTTATTTCATTTTGTTATATTTGTGTATAAATGTACCTATTTTTATTGGTTAATATAATCCAAACACAATGAGAACAAGTAGATTATAGAGATAATTAAAGTTAAGAGATAGTAAAGAGGCACATACTACATTATTGAAATTCACTATATCTTCAATTTTTTTGTATAATATTTTGTTTGTTAATTCATTAGAATACTTTTAAATTTTATCACACTGTTCCTAAACTACATTATATTTAACTTCTTTTCATTATTTTACATATTATGGTTAGAATATTTTAAAATTGAATCAAAATTTAAATTTTAGTATTTTATTCCTCCAATTAGTATGGTAAACGGAGCTTTGAGCTCTAATAATTTGAAAGTTAGTGCGGTTATAATTAAACATATATCAAGAATTATTCTAATTAGAGATCTAACTTAGATAGTACTAGTCCAAATTAAATTTTAAACATAACTTAAAATTAAGAATTTCACTTTTAATTTATAAATTTAAGTGTTATTAATTTTAATTTAAAAAAGTAACATAATTTAATATATCATGAAGTATAAATTTAAATACTCCATTTTGAATATTTAAAAATCAATTGTGTATGTTTTATATTACTATTAGTTAAAAATATTATTTTTACATAAGCTAAAAATTACTTTTAATACGT